AAAAATATATAGAAAAAATTAGCCGGGCATGGTGGCACATGTCTGTAGTCCCAGCTACTCGGGAGGCTGAGGCAGGAGGATTGCTTGAGCCCAGGTGTCTGAGGTTGCTGTGAGCTAAGCTGACACCACAGCACTCTATAGCCCAGGCAACAGAGCAAGACTCTGTCTCAAAAAAAAAAAAAGAGGGTCTAGATACCAGGAAAAGACACATGTAGCTAGAAACTGTATGAAGTTGAGGCCCAGTTTGACAAAAAGGGTCAGAGTCATAACTCCTCATTGAAAGGCTGAGCAGCAGGACATGGAGATGGTACGAGATCAAAGACAGAGTAGTACATCCTATTTCCACCCTGGGGAGGGGAGTTACTTGGTATAGGGTGGTAGCTGTGTCCTTTACACGTTTATTCTAGACTCTAAGACAGAAAATTGAGGGTCCTCTAGTGGCCACCCCCTAGCCTACAGGCAGGCCTACACTTCTAGCCATATTCCAGTCCTCTTACTCCTGTCCTTCTAGTCCCAAGAGGAGATATTTCCATAGGACAGTAAGTTGCCTTTCTTACTAGAACACATCTGCCTTCTCCATACCCTCTACCAGAGCCTGAGTTACTCTTTGTCTCCCCTGTTTGTTAAGGACTTTTAATCTTGGTTTCCTAGGGTTTCTCAACTCCAATATCACCTTTACATTCTTACCAAAAGTCAAAGGCACCCTTGTTCAAATAAGATTCCATGCAAAGAGCACCTTCTCCCTTATTATTTCCAGCACTCAAAGTACTTAAGGGGTATGTGTGGATCGGGCCTAGCTATTTCATTTGGTCCCTTATTCTACCTTGTCCAGATCGATTTGGAACCACATTCTATTAATTTGCCCAACTTCATATTCTCATCCAAGTCATGAATAAAAATACTGAATAGCCAGAGCCAAGGGTAAGATCTCACAGTCACTGCCTCCCTCTATGGTAATATTGTTCCACCTCTCAGTACCCACTGTATTTCTTCAACCAGTTTTGACTCTACTTAAATATATAAGCATCCACCCCATCCATGCCTCTGCCTTGTCAAATTCATAGAGCTAAAGTCCAGTTATTCTGCCTGCCACATCCATGAGCTACCAAGCTTGGTAATAAGAAAATGAGTCTAATGATTTGGCTGATTTACTCTTTGCAGTTCCTAGTGATCATTACTTGCCTGTATGCCAGTGCCCAGCACGGCTTCGACCAGCATACAGAGGCATTCAATAAATCTTTGGGGATTGATTCTTTACTGATAAACCTCAAGTGTGATAATATCTCCCTCCCCTTGATCCATAGAAGAAAGGGAGAGAAATAGAGAAAATACAAAATGTATCAGGCATTTCAGGCATCTATACTAGAATTTATACTCTCTAATCCTCACTACTCTATAAGGTAGGGTATTAGTATTCTCATTCTATAGACCAGGAAAACTGAGGCTCTGTAAGGGATACCTGACTTGCTAGAATTCATAAAAAGTGACAGGGCTGGATTCAAATCCAGATTTGCCTGACTGTATTTTCTTTCTGCTATACCATACTTCCTTACTACAACTTTCACATGCATGCAGCAAGTATTGTTTCTGCTTTGTTACAGATAAACATCTCTCACCATAGCGATGTCTATACTGCCCTGATCTAGCTTGAGTGTGACTCTAAGAGTTCCAAGGCCTGAGTTTCCCCCCAAACAATATCCTGGAAGCTAACAGTAGCATTGTCATCAGGATAGTGAAGACCCAAAGGCCAAATGGCCAAGCCTAAGGTTAAATATAAGGCCTCATGTAGAGAAATTCTTGTGCCATCAAAAGAAGCATCCAACACCAAAGTGTTAGGAGGTCTGGGATCTATGCTTGCCTCTACCCCAATTTGTTATGAAATTCCCTTCTCCTATCTAGACCTCAGCTTCCTTAGCTGTAAAATGCATTATCACAGAATTACTAAAGAGATCAAATGTGTGGGTGTAAATGACAGGGCTTTGAGACATCTTGGAAATATTCAGATGGACATGTCCAGGAGGTAATTAAAAATGTAGATGGGCCAGGCGCGGTGGCTCACGCCTGTAATCCTAGCACTCTGGGAGGCCGAGGCGGGCGGATTGTTTGAGCTCAGGAGTTCGAAACCAGCCTGAGCAAGAGCAAGACCCTGTCTCTACAAAAAATAGAAAAATTAGCTGGGCATGGTGGTACGGGCATAGTGGTTCCAGCTATTAGGGAAGTTAGAGCAGGAGGATCACTTGAGCCCGGGAGTTGGAGGTTGCACTGAGCTATGATGACGCCACTGCACAATATCCCAGGCGATAGAGCAAGACCCTGTCTCAAAAGAAAAGTAGAAGTGGAGTCTGAAGAAAAGGAAGGAGCTAGAGCAGTAGATGTAAGAATTGTCAGGTCCCTTCAGCAGAGCCCTGGGCTGTGCCGCATACTCCTGAGTGAATCTATGAAGCATTATATAGAAAAAGAAGAGAAAATAGGCAAATCAAGGGTCTAGTCTATGCCTTACTACTGATGCACTTCTTCTCATCATAATCCCATTCCTATTCTTTAATTCCTACCATCTTCTCAGCCTACCACCGTCCGTGGAGATCCTTCCATTCTTTCTCCTCTGAACTAGAATTTCTTGATCAACCCATTCTTTAGATAGGTAAATATGGGTCATCTCTTTCTATCTCAGGGACTGCCTTGTGTGTTTTCCAATTTTCACATCAGTCATCTTCTGGTAGTCTGTGAGCTCCTCAGGGCCAGGGCTTAAGAATTATTTATATCTCTGTAGCTCTATACTTAGCATAGGGTAGCACAGGTTCTGACCAGAGCAGGTACTCAGCAAAGGTAGAAAAAAAAGATGGAAAGGAATGAAGGGAGGTTTTAGATGGAAAGGGGAGGGAGAGATAGAATACAAAGTGCATGCAGAGGGCAAATAACAGCTCCTAGGGACAAGAAGAGTATTGCACAGCCTCTACATAAACTCAGCTCTCAGAATATACATCACACCCAGTAAACACAGCCACGGCAGAGTGGCCATTGATGTTTCAGGAGAACAGATGTGGCTGCCTAGGTGAACAGAGCTAACCCAGGGTAGCTGGCTGGGACGTAGGGAACCAAAGAATGGCAGAATTCCCAGCCTGAATGCTACAAATAGATTTTAGCAAAATGAGGTCAACTGTTAACACCATCAGGCGTGAGATAGGGGAGGTAGGTGTAAACAAATGAGATACTGACATGTTAACAGGGTCAGGCATAATGCTGAAAATTTTCAGGGTACCAGTTAACATTGAGAAAGTAAGCCTCCAATCATTATCACCTTCTGGAATCCCCTCTGCCGATGTATTCTCTTCACCTTCTCTACTGCTCACAATACTCTGGCAGATAAAGATAGTCATTCCTCACTGCCAAAATGCGTGCTAGGAATTTCTTTTGTCATTTACACAGCCTTCTGTGCTGGGGTGTCTGTTTAACCTGTCAGAACTACTACTGGGCTTTCTTCCCTTCTAGTTATAGCCCAACAAATGTTTTAGCTGTCTCAACTACACACAGATACTCCATAGGTCACAATTCTCCCCAAAACCAAGCTGGGCCAGATTCCTCTCTCAAATCCCCTTACTCCTATAGTGTGGAGAGGCCCAGCCTTCTTCTGTATAACTTCTAGCGTACATCTCCTGGTACCCTCTCCATGCTAGGTCTTAAACTATGGACTGATGACAGAAGAACACAGCTGTCTCTGTCATCAAGAAGTTCCCAGTTTAAAGGGTAAAAGACAAGGAAATGAATTGTTATAAAGAAAGCAGGTCCTAAGGGCTGTGGGTTCCTAGAGGAGAATAAGAAGAAAAAGTTGAGCATGCCCAAGAAGAGGCTGGAAAATCATCCTGGAGAAGACTTGAAGGGTGAGTTGGAGCATAATAGAAAGAAGAGAGAGAGGGTAAGGATATAGCTACAGAGACCAGAATAAGCTTTGCCAAAGAGGCAGCCACAACTGCTCACTGGGGACCTTCCCCTATTATCTGAGCCATTGAAGGAGGGAGATAAGACATATTTTTTTTACTCTCTACAACTTCTCCCACCCCTAACAATTATTCTGCAGGCCCCTCTCTGCACCCTTCTCAATATTCCTGTTAAAAGCACAAAGGGTATACTAGCCCCTAGCCCATAAACTGGGGCATAGAGAACCTTAGGAATATGCCCAAAGTCACAAAGCCGCTAAGTGACAGAGCCAATCAGCTTGATTTCAAACCTGGAACTCTTTTTTTTTTTTTTGAGACAGAGTCTCATTCTGTCACCCAGTGGCTTCGTCACGGCTCACTGCAACCTTGAACTCCTGGGCTCAAGCGATCCTCCTACCTCAGCCTCCTGTAGCTGGGATGACAAGTGATAGCCACCACACTTGGCTAATTTTTCTAATTATTTGTAAGGATGAGGT